AACTACACTAACTCTTGAATATTTGTTTGTCAAGAAATGTGTCTTGACAAGAGAACCTTATATGTCAAGGAGTCAGTGGGAGTCTTGATAGTCTTGAAATGTTTCAAGAACAAATCAAGAATAGACCTTATTATTCATCACTAGCACACGACTTGAGGTTTACGACCTATCGTGTTGACACTATTTTGTTTCTGTGCCATTCTGAATTGAGTTAATTATGCAAGTGAGTTCTACGAGTTCTCAATGGACTGTATAGGGGCAAGGCAGCTTGTTCAATGGAAAGTATATTGAAATGAAGGGGTGAGCTGCTAAAAAAAACTTGGAAGCAATGGTGGGACCCTTGATGGCAAGAAATTAAGAAGAACAAGTTCTATCCATATGAGTTTGGATTTGTCACTAACATTATCTTAAGATTATGGTTATGATGAATTCACATGGATGTGAATGTATACACCACAAAATCTAAGTGTCATAAGGTTTCTCTCCTTCATGAAAATGGTTGTGAGGAAACGTTGTCACTAAGAGAGATTTTGAAAAATAGCATAATGTGATTTGGGTTTCTCAAATTCAACTATGATTACGACATACCTCTTCATATTTTGAATTGTGGGAAATGGCAAATGGGTCTGAACATCTTAGACTTATTGGTATGAGTCCTAGAATCGTTTAGACATATACATATGACCTGTCCAAGGAAAGGTAGCTTAGATAGAGTCTTATCAAAGCATCTAGTATTAGAAATATGAACTTAAGAAATTGTTTTCTAGAAGTTCAGCTGATTTCTGAATACATGTCGAAGCTAGTGGGAGCATAAGTGTTATGCTAGTAAAGAAATAATCATGTAAGTGGGAGCATGATTATTATGACAAGTATTGCAAGTTAGCAATGTTAATTGTAGAAAACAAGAGTTATACTTTGCAAAGTTGTAAGAGTTGAAAAGTTGTTTTGCTATAATTAAGGGAGAGAATATTGTACTTCGTTTCATAATCTAACGCTTAGATTGAGAAATTTTAATAAATTTAGTCAAAGGATACATAGTGAGTTCTTAAATTTCGATTATGATTATGGCATCCCTGAATGTGACACATAAAATATTATGGCGGAAGATTGATAGAGTATCATATCTTTATGTAAGACATTATGCATCATGTCCCATCCGCTTCGGGTATAGGAACAATTGCATATGCTATAACATTTTTCAAATGCCAAGGAAGGGACTAGAATTGGTTTTGACTAAATTAATTAAACAACTATCAAAGGACATTCAAAGTTCACTGAGGATTGGTCGCTTGTGAGTAGTTGGAAGTATGGTATTAAATGGACAATATCGACATTATTATGAATAGATAAGATTCTATTAAGAATGAGTTGTCACATGGTAAATATGGAAATGTTTCCATAATTGGGAATTGGAAATTAAGAATTTATGAATATTAGAAAATTTTATGCAAAAGTATGTTCAGAGGAATGTACTTTAAGTGAGAGACATGACATATATAGAATTGTTCTGTAACAATTTTGATAGAGTACCTTGTGATTTCGTTGGCCGAGTCAATGTGATTTTTGTGTCGTGACTTCACAACTACTTACATTGCATAGAATATTAGAATTTGACATATTCTAAAAAGTGGCAAGAATTTGGTGTTCTTACACTAATCATAAAGATTGGAAATTATGAAATGAGTTTCATTTGAAAAAGTTTTAATTGATCTATTTCACAAAGTATGGACCATAGGAAACCAAAGTGCGCATGCTTGGAGCATGAGACAATTATGGTTATGATTCGAGTTATAAACTTGATTATCTGAAACATTAAACAATGGATAATGAGTAATCAATATGGTGATTAAATAAAGGTGTTTTATTTATACTTACAAGTTTGGGGTCATATAAGATTAAGTATTATCATTGTGTTTCTCTTTGCATGTTTTGACTTCTAGAATAATTGAGCTTATTAAGAATAATCGAATTATTCAAACGGTCACAGTCGGTCATACATTGGAAGTAGGTATGATTAAAGACTGTCATGAATTGGTTTGTAGATTTTCGAAAGTGTATTGGACATAGCAAAGGTTTGCTGGAATGTTCATGAGTGCTTATGAATATGATTTTGAGCATTGGATTAAACCCACACTCACTTGGATTGCTTCATGGATTTTATCAAGAGTGATTAGTGAGACGATAATATCTTGTATTCTTGAAACCGATATGCGTGAGTTGTATCTTCCAAATCGGTTACACATTGATAATATGAAAACGCACCAGTGACTTGGTGTTATAAAAGTTATTATTGTGTGTGATTTGGTGAGTGAGTGCAAGCAAGCATTGAGTCGGAGTTTATCTGTTCCTTTTACCCAAAGTGGGATAAAAGCGATATTTGTGGGCCCCTCAATGATTTAGTGATGACAAACGTAAATGTTAGGTTGGGCTAGGGCTAATTTGATTTGTTCAATTAGTCAGTCTTCGTAAATCGGAAATCAGGAAATAACACATAAATTGAGAGAATGATTTCAATCCATGTCTCGTCTATATACGATATCTAGAATGGAGAAATATATGATCCCTTATCTAAAGGACAGTTTACTGATAAGATCAGAGTTCAACAACGTCTTTGAGAGCTACGATTGCTAATCGATTTGTACTTACATTTGTGGTTACTAGACTTATCCAAGTGGGAGACTGTTGGATTAGTGTCTAAGCCTGTAACCATATTTGGTAAGTACTTGACCCGATTGTGCATGATCCTTTTGGGTTGCCTTCACCAAAGCAACTTGACTGGAGAAATAATAAAGAGAGAGAGGTTATTATGATTTATTAATATGTTATAAGAATAATATATTATAGGGTAAATCATATTTGTTAATATTGGTCAATAATTAATTAGGAATTAATTTTGTGATCAAGTGTAATTAATTAAACTAGAGGGGCTGAATTGTAATTATGTGATAGTTACAAAGTAGGGTAAGGATTATCCTAAATATGGGTGGATGAAATCTAAAGGATATGGATCCTTGAAATTGTCCAAAGATAAGGGTATTCAAGGCTTATCTTATCGTTACTTGGTGGGCAAGCAACTTGATAAGGATAACGACTGAAACCCTAATCTCCGAACCTATATAAACACCCCTTTGCCATAAGAATTCGTCCATGCTTCCTAAAGGGTTCTTAGGGTCGATTTCTACCTCCTTCTTCCCTGTCTATAGCCTCTCCAATTGCTTATGGTGTTTGTGAGCCATTAGAGGCACTACACTTGTGGTGCTTGCTTTCAAGACTTAGGGTTTGAAGATTTAAGTTGTTATTTCAATATAACAACAAGAGGTATGTGATCTAACCTTCTTATTTTGTAGTATATTGTGTCATTATGTTTTGTTTGGACCTCATTGTATTTGTTAAATATCGATTAAATGAAATGAAATCAGAGTTTTGATTGAATTATGAATACAATGAGTAAATATGATCTGGATGGCTCGATTAAAACTTCTGAAGGTTATAAAGACAGAATAGAGAATGAACACGAAAATGCTCAAAAGTACCTATAACTTTAGTACCTATCCTTATTTATAGGCATTAACGAAATTTACAAAAAAATACATAAGGGCTAAAACTATTAAGCTTTGACATATAAGAATGCCCCAATGAAATACATACAATGAAAGTTGACAAACAATCTTCGACACTAAGATGGACTCATGACTTTTCGACACCTCACATCACCATTCGACCTCAACATTCTCCCCTTTTGTGAGCAGTGTCGAATCCTAGGTCATTAGCATCTTTGTTTCCTAATGAAGAACTCATTTAACTTCCATGTACCAGATAATTGATCTACGAACCTCAGCTTTATCTCCTTCAGTCTTTTACTTGCAGTTATTTATACACACAAGCTAATTTTTATATTGAGAGTTAGTGTATCTTTCAACATTCTTAACTCTGAATAAAAACTTTGTATTCTTGTTGTTTTTATTCTTCCAAACAAAAACTATTCCTAATGGTTTAACACAAATTTCACCATCATCAAAATTCGTCAAGCTTCCTAAACCTTTCACAACGATTGTGGCACGGTTTCCATTGCCAAAGCCAACTCCACATTCATGAAGGCAAGATAATCATAATAATTGTCAATGAAAAGATTGATATGTGCAAACCCAAGCAAGACATCTTCTTTGCTCATCACCTAAAGTTTCGAAGAATCAACCACTTAGAATTTTAGCCACGCAGATAAGATCATCAAGATTCTTCAACGGAAAATCAGCCACAGAGAAATCACAGTCCACATTATTGGCTCGAACTACGTGAAAATAAAAGTTCTGCAATAACCCTTCGAATAATTGATCCTTGGTTACGCCCAACACCTTGACAATCTTTACTAATGACCAAATCTCTTCTTCTTTCATTCTAAGTAGAACATGAAACCTCACTTTTAGCTTCTTGAACTCTTCTTTGTCTTCGAATTTGTCTATTAATTGATATTGAGCTGATATTAACGTCATATGCTTGATAGGAAAATCCAGTTTATTGAAGTTTGGATTTTCTATCTCACAACTCTTCTTTGGGACTTTGAGAAAATCATGCATGTTACCAAGAGAAACAATATGTTTGATTGTCTTGTGAAAATATGGTTTTGTTGGGTCACCCTTATCAAGACTAGGTAGGTCTCCTTACCTTTGTCTTAAAATACTTTGAATTTGCCTTTGTCTTTCCATTTTCTTTTCTAAGGCAATCTTCTTCTCTTCGTTATTTGGATCAATGTGGACACCATTTCCTTTTCCTTATATTTCTTTCTTTCATGGAGATGGCTTCGAACTTGATCCACCAAAAGATGAACCAATAACAATACCTTTGGTTAAAGGCTTCAAAGCCATGGTAGTTAAGATAGTTGACATTGAAGTTGGAAGCGAAGTAGGAATATGTGTGCTCAAAACCTTCCCTACAACTTTTCCCCGATCTTTTGATTAACTGGTATCAACGCATTTAGAAATAACAGAACCACCAACCTTTTCTCATCCTTGCACCCATGTTTTTATAGGTGGGGCATCAGAAGGCATTAAACTCACAAACTTGATAAGAGTAGCTAAATCAGCCCTCAGTTTGGACTCCAACGAAGAGAGCATTTTGGACAAAGCTTCTTGGGAAACCAAAGATGAAGGAGAAACATTAATTTTTGAAATTAATGCCTTCACATTACTTAATAATTCTTCCAACTTGACAAAACCATTTGAACCATATTCTGACTGGAAATCAACTTTGGTAATAAGAGTAGTAGAAAACTCAGTAGTCTTCTTAACAACATCAGTAACTATATCAACCTTAGTATAAAGATTGGAATAGTTATGATCAACCTTAGCAACTTCCTTTGTCATCTCTTAACGAATTCTTCAATCTTGAAATTAGCATCCTCCTGATTAAAAGAATCAGATTGTCATTCAAATGCGTTTCATTCTTCGTATCAATCTTTTACATGATGATTTTCAAACGATGTTCTTGGGCTTTTAACAAAACATTGACTTCAATTTCGGACACAGTGTTGCAGCTTCCTGTATCAGCTTGAAGTTGAAGCAAAGAATTCAACTTTCAATTCAAGATTTTAAATTGTTTTCTTGACGTCAACATCTGATGAGGAATATTTTCTTCCTCAAGATCAAACTGAATATTTCCAAAAGAAAGCATATAATCATCATCATCTAGTTCAACCTCAAAAATAGATTTTGGACCATCGGTTGATTGAGAAGAAAATAGAGAAGTGATAGGTTGATCAATAATATTTGAAAAAGTAGGCAAGATAGTGGATGTAGGTAATGAAGTGGGAATTGGTGAAATGAATGGTGGTAACAAAGTGGGTGTATCAAAAACAATGGTTTCGAATGTAGATGAAGTAATGATAGAAATAAGAATGGATGAAGTAGAGACATTCAAAATACCTTGAGCTTTGTGCGTCGACATCCTATCACCCATATTGAAAATTGTGTCCATATTAGATATGAGCACAGTGATGCCTGAAGTTCAAACCTCCTCCTTAATCGACTTAGCAATCGAAACTTTGAGTGGTATGACCGAAGTCTTCTTAGGGATGGATAGATTAAAAGGATCACCCAAATTAGTGGTTGTATCCATATTAGATGTGTTCACATTGCCACTAGGACTTCTAGTTGCCTCGATATTCGAATTAACAGGAGAATCCCTCTGAGGTGCTGCGAAGCCCATGTATTTAGTCAAATTGGAGATAGAGTACCCTCGTCTTCGAAATCAAACTCAACCACCACTTCATCAAGTGACTCTTCCAACTTCTTTTGCTTCTTCAAGATTTTCTTTACCGAATCACGAGCTCTTTGTTTCATTTAAGCCATAGAAACTAGAGAAGGGATTTAACGAATAATCACCTCCTTTCGATTAATCTTAGGCTTTCGAATCTTTTGTATCTTTGATGCAAAAGACACCTTAGGCGAAGAAATATTTTGCAGAGGAACATCTTTAATAATAGTCCTCAGATAAGGTGAATGTTGAGGTCTATGGGCAGGCTTCTTTGTGCACTTTAAAACACCGATCTTCGATGGCATGACCTTCGTTTGTACATCATGTACAATATTTTCTTGAACAAGCTCTTTAACAGGCTTCGTAAAAACTTGCTCGACAACCTCATGAACATTTTAGGTTTTTCAACCTTTGAAGATTTCTTGGGACTTTTACCACATTTGGAAGATCTTGTAATTCCTTTTGGTAGCGAAATACCTATTTCGACAGTAGGATTAATGGATTGAAGATAAGCCACACAAATTGGGTTTGTGGGATCAACCTTACAAAGCATCACATCTGGAATTCTTGCAACATTGGGAACATCCTTTGGATGTTGATAAATCCCAAACTCAACAGTAGGAACATCAACAGGAACCAAAATACCTTCTTTCTCATACACATATTGGAGAATCAAACTCCAATATCTTGCACAAGAAACACCATTTGCCACATTGGTGTGGGAAATACTGACACCAAATTCTTCCCAAAGATGAGTAGCATAATCAACCTTTAAATTGTAATACAGACCAGCAACCATGGAAAAAAATTTCTAGTTGGCCTTTATGCAATCCCACACGTTGTCCTGTCAAGTATTGAAGAAAGATTCCAAAGAGAAAATTCCATACACATGGTAAACACGATTTCTTGAACTGACTAAGTTTAGTAAAAATGGGTTGATGACCCATCTCATTAAACATATGAACCGCTTGCTCATTAGTAACCTTATAGGAAGGACCAACATTGGAATGTTCAAGATTTGAGCGAACTTCTTCTTCGAGAGCTTGTAATTTTATCGTTGGTTAACTGGAAAGTAACTACCATAGAAGTTTGATTTAACATGGTAGTAGAACTGGCAAACGATAACAGGTCATTGAAACAGAGAAACAAGCCATCATCACCACCGATAGAACTGAATGATTGAGAGAGACAATCAACATTCGTAGTTCTTTAGGATATTTCGAGAAATCAGGTTGAACCCTATAGTTAGATCCTTTAATCTTCAACAATGTTTGAGATGAAGCGTCATCTGTGGTCTAAGAAGGATCAACTGGAAAATTTGTGGCCGCCATTGTTAGGGTTTGAAGGGTGTAGAGAAAAAAGAAGTATAAGTAGAGAGAATTTATGGAAAATATTTAGCCAAATCATGTGAAGTTTGAAGAAGATATCCCCAAAATCCTTTTATATTGTAACCTCAAGTTTGAATTTGAAACAGTTAGCAATAAATTCTTTCCACGTGTATCCTTGAAAAACAGACCTATAGACGTAAAGATAGCCACGTTTGAAAAGTAATGAGCACTTTTCCTGGAAAACGATAAAATAACCCAACGGTCACATCAATCAGTCGTTTTGTGTTCCCTAAGAGGACAAGAGCTGTCACTAAACCCTTCGTTTTGAGGTTGGGCTTATTTACTTTTGGGATGACAAGCAAAATCATAGCCAGACGTTCGAAATCTAGGTTTGAGTTGGTATTACTCAATACCTCAAGGATTTTTAGTGCAAATTTATGAAAGTGAATGAGTGGGAATCAATAGAAAAAAAAATATGTGCATAAAGTGACATCAAATATTCGTTTGATGTAAAAGAAATTAGATCACTGGCAAAGATCACTTTATTGAACACCAAGAGAGATATCAAACTGCTTGTGTGGGTTCTCGTGATACATAATCGAATACTCATAGAGAAGTATCGAAGGGATTCTTTTAATAAGGCTTCAAAGGTTGCTATAATTTTGTTCATGATTACAACTAAACATAAGTGTAGATTCGATGATCAAAATTACTTGTATGACCGATGTAGTCAGTGACAAGTGAAGGTTAGAAAAATGATTAAGTGACAAAGAAACAAGGTGATATTCAGACGAAAATCATATTTTAAAAACAAAGAAGAATTGGATCCTATTGGGCAAAAATGTATTGGGATAAAATCATTTTATCAAAACCACGCAAATTGAAAGAAATATGATTTTGAGTATCGAAGAAAGGTACAGAAACAAATGTTTCATTAAAATATTGAACATGAAGTTCATCGTCAATTCCTTTAATAGTTGGAAATTTTGGGTTTCACTAACATCACGGTCTCATGAATCAGGATCATGAACACAGACTTGTGCGATATCTACCAGAGATGTCGTGGATATGCAAGTGAAGTGTGTGATTCACGAAGAAATGTTTTGTTGAAAACGATTGTTCAAGAACCAATTTGTACCTTTGTGAATGATAAGGACCAAGCAGAAATCTCTTAACTCAAGATGAGAAGAGAAAGGTAGCTTGTCGAATAATGTGGATATAGCCTAATTGGGAAGGAACTCTCATGGTGAGTGATCCATTAAGGATTTGACGCACATTGAGTGTATGAGGCTTAGATCGACATACAACAACATGCTTCTAGGGACACTTAGCAAGTGTAAAGTGTAGAAATTATACCTGTCCCTTCCAGTAACGAAGCAATGACCACCATACGATGTCGATTGATATCTAACCTAAAATCATAAAACTCACAAAAGAAAAAATGTTTTTGAATTTTTGGTTTTGAAAATTAAAAGAACAAAAATATGAAAATCTTTTTGAAATTTTTATTTTTGAAAGATAATGACAAAAGAAAAAATATTTTTAGATTTTTGTTTTGTGAAAATTAAAAGAAAAAAAAATCTTTTTGTAATTTTTGTTTTATAAAAACAAAACAAAATAAAAATAAGACAATGTTAACCTACAAACAAACCAACACGCATCGACATTGAGACATAAGTCATCGATATATCAAAATAAATCAGGTAACGAAGGACAATCTAAATCAGTCAGTGATATGTTGAAATTGAAGCATGTCGAACGCTGAATAATGAACGGTAACTTCTGATTCATTGAAGAAAGTGTCGATGCCAAGTTATTTCATAACGAAGCTTCATTTGGAACAACAGTTGCATCAAGCATTCCTAGGCCAGACAAGATCCAAAGAATAGACTTTTCATCCAAAGGCTTGGCAAATATATCATCAAGTTGATCTGTTGTTTTCACAAAGTGAACTTCAATATTTCCATCCTTAATATGATTCTTGATAAAATGATATCTAAGTGTGATATGTTTGGTCTTTGAATGTTGCACCAGATTATGACAGGACTGATAACTCACTTCATTTCTTGTTCCTCGTTTGGTTGTGGACTTAGAGTACCATGTCGTTTGTCCAAGTGTCGTTTGATCCTTAGTTATATATTATGTATATATGTATAGACATAAAAGCTTTTATCTCAGTTCAATACCTTTGGGTAGCAAAGGTGTATAAACATGTTCATTTACACAAACAACTCTACTAGTAAACTATAATAGGTATAGTTTAGGAAGTCATTACTTACTATTTCTAGTACAGTGAAACATACAAAGAGTCAGTTCATACATGAGTCAATACATATTATTATGAGAAACATAACGAATATACTATGATGAGAAACTAAGATAATATACTATTATGAGAAACGTAACGAATACTATAATGAGAAACAAAGACAACACACTACATACTAGACAGAGAGAACATACATTACACTAGTACATACAATACATATATACAAGAATACAATAACATAAATGTGAGCCACTATTACGGGGCATGGCATCACTATCATGACGCGTTTTGTATCCAATGTCTCCTGGAGGGATAGCGTGAATTTTTGTATAGATCTATACTAGATTGACTATCCTACACCTTGTTGTTCGCTACAGTGGGAATTGCAAGTCTACGGGTGCCAAATATCATTTCTTTAGACGTCTTTCATCATCATGTTTTATTCGATAGTATGGTACTATCATATCACATCATATCTTAATTAACAACCTGTTTAAGGTAGTTAGTACAATAG